TTTTAATGTGCAAAAGTTTAAGAGTAGTTATTCTTACATTCAGTAAAATGCCAACTTTAAACTTTGCCATAATTATTTAATTAGTCGATGCTAAACAACCCCTAATTTTTACCAGTTAGTTTTTACTAGCTGGTAATTTCTTTGGATATTTTGCAAAAATAAGCAATAAATAATGAAGTAAAAAATAACCCTTAGGATCATCCTTAGGTTATAGGCAACAGCTGCCAAGGTAGCATTCAGTTTATCACCAATGCTGCCCTTTAAGCGATTCAAATCCATCCTACATTTTGACTTCATTAGCCCAATTGTTGGTTCAATCTTACTTCGTTGCTTTAGTTTCTTTTTCTCTGAGGGACTTAAATTTCTATCACCCGAGAGCATAACCTTTATTTCTGGATGTGCTTTCTTACAACCTCGGTAACCTTTGTCTAAAACAACCGTTGTGATATTTTCTCCAGTGTTTAGTTCAGTTTGAATTAAAAGATCACTTAAAGTTTTACCATCATAAGGATTACCGCTAAATGAATCTACTGCTAGAATAAAGCTATTTTTAATTGTACTCACAATTCCAACCTTACTACCAAATTCATATTTCTTATGTGCTTTGCCTTTAGCAATGCAGCTCACCTCTGGTTCATGGATTGAGTAAATTTTATCTTTACTATCACGCTTTTGTTCAAAGACTTGCTTAGCTACTATTATTTTGTCTTTAAATTGCTGGAGTAAGCCTTGCGATACATTCTTCAAATTCTCAATCTGGCGCTCAGATTCACGAATCACCCGACCAAGTAAGGTACGTAGACGCTTAGTTTCTCGCTTGGCTTGAGCTGGTTTTCTTGCATGTGATAATCGTGCCGCATTGTTTTTTAGTCTCGGAGCTGTGCGCTTGTAGGTTTGACGAAACTTAACTCCACAAGCTAAACCAAGCTCAACAACTTGTTCTAAAGCTTTGCAAAGTAATTTACCATCAGTTGGGTAAGTGATGTTTTTCTCCTGTACCGTGGTATCAGAAATTACTTCGCTAAGCTCCTTTGGGCTAATCACTTCCTCCGCTAATCCCAAAGCTATTGTTTCCACTAAAATCTGCTGAAAGATTTCATTACCTAGGCGTTTACGCCAATTGGTCAGACTTTCACTGGTCAAGCCAATTTTATGTTCAAAATACTTATTACCACAAAAATATTGAAAGTATGGATTCTCAATAAACTTAGCACAGACCTCTTCATCAGATAAATCATTCATTTGCTTGAGTAACAATAAACCTACTACCATCCTGCTCGGTAATGCAGTTCGTCCATTATTTTTGCAAAACTTTGCACTACACAATTCATCAATTTTAGTCCAGTTAAATTTATCTGCTAATTGAACCAAACTATGCTTCATATCCAATAAATGGATTAATTGAATCTTTAATAATTCTGGTTGAAATTTATCTTCTATTTTACGTGGTTTCATGCTTTTTTGCTCACTGATATTGCAAGGTTTAAAGCATTATTTTACCATTTCTGGCGATATTTAGCGCTCAAAAATAGTGTATTGTTTAATTAAATCAGATTGATATATGATTTTTAGCCTCAACTAATGAACTTATCTATCTCATTTCTGATTACCTATTAGTGTTTCGTCTTAATATAAACATAT